GGCGAAGTATATTGATCGAGTCCTAGGACTGGATCAATATTAATTCCTGAAGTCCTTGAACTGGATAAAAATCAATTCACCTCACTTCACTTCAAGTAGGGCCAAAAAAAGAAATATGTGGGTTTCCGGTTTCCCGACCCTACCTAGCTTTTGGACGTCGAAATCCCAACCCTAAACTTTTTTATGGATCATGCTTGTAAGTTTTTATAAGAAGAAACCGGAAACCCACATATTTTTTTTTTTTGCCTAGTGATTTATTCGCATGAGATGTTATTTCAAATCCTCCAATTCGGACTGGACCAGCTAGATTACAAGTCCTCGCATTTTGATCGAGTGCTTCACCTCGGACTTCATCAAATTGCGCAGACTCGAAATCTAATCCAGTCCTCATAGTCGAATTTGAAATATTACATAGCACACGGGCGGAAAAAAGAGATAGTCGGAAAACCAAAAGTAATGTGATATGTTTAAAGTTTGTTCGTTCACTGCAACCAGGTATATCAATCATGTTTCGCTCGCTACTCTGGTTTAAATAAATGATTACAAAGCCCAGTCGAATTGTAATCAAGACCCAACGTTTCGACACTCCAGATATGTGTTGAATGCCTTTCGACAATCTGAAGTCAAGGCCAGGCCATTAAAATATCGGTCGGCTACGCACATTGTCCAACCCACTCGTGAAATTGTCCGACGCAGAGAGGAAAGCACCAACAAATTACTAAAAATTTGCAAAATAGTTTTAAGCAAATATCTCACCAAGATGTTTAAAACTGACCAACCAATCAACCAGCTCTTTTCCTTTGAAAGTGTGCTTGTATGACCAGAGGAAACTACCATTAGTCTTTACAATCCCGCTGTTTTTAATCTGTTTTACCAACTCAGAATATTCGTCTTGCTCACATGTGAAACCTGAACTGCCATAATTAACTCCTGTAAAAGCGATGGCAGACTTAAACCTATAGGACTGAATGACGACGAGGAGCTGCAGGAGTTTGATGTGTAAAATCTCATTAAGAGGCAATTTTTTTCAATGTCACGTATTTGCGATGAAAAGTGTTCAAAACCTAAAATCTTTTTGGCGTTCCTTTCAAAATTATTTTGTTTTAGCTTTATTCTCTAGTTTATACAGTTAGCAACCTTAGCTTTTTAAATGGATCTACCGGTTGAGAAACATAAAATAATAGTCAAAAATTGTCAATCAAAATATAATTATCAATGATGCTTTAAAATTGACGCCATGTTTACAGTCATATAAGCAAAACTTACCGAACTTCAGACATCATTTTCTCTTTGGCATACCATCAAAAGTCTTTTCATTTTAGTATTATTTTACAGATAAAGCACTAAACATACTTTTTAAGTTTGTTTGCCGATTGAGAAACGTTTTGAAAAATAAAAATTTTGAATTTAGTCATAACCTCAAGTGATATATTATACGCATTAGCTTTGAGCGCGTGTTACGTAACATACAAAAAAATCTCCTCATAAAGCGTTTGTATATATGGTTCCAAGATTCAAGAAGAATAGATTTATGTCATCACCACAGCATGAATAATTCTCCTCAAATTTATTCCGTATCTTACGAAAAGTAATGCAATTTTGAGAATGCGAGAAATGGCGTCTCATAGAACCTAGGGTTATCTAAATGCAAAATTTCCGATCAAAATCACAATTTGGGATTTTCTCCCCCCCCCCCCCAGCATCACAGAGGGAAAATAAGGTGACAGTACAGTCCCCTCGTCCAGTTTTCCAAGGTGACTTTTGAAAAAGTTTCGTAGGTTTCATATTTAGTTCCGAGGAGAAATATCTGGTAAAAAAATCATGTCTTTGATGTACTTTATAATCTTCGGAATTCTGCAAAATTTCACCCCAAAAATGCTTGAAATCGCATTTCACGGATTCTAGATTTCAAAGAACATGGCCTGGACCCCCTAGCCCTCAAAAATAAGACTCTGGCTACGCCACTGATGATGGTAATGACAGTGGTGATGATGGTGTGATAATAGTGACAATATATCAATGATGATGGTGTGATGATGGTGTGATAGTGATGATGCTACTGATAATGGTGATGATTGATGGTAATGATGCAGATGATGATGGTGATGATAGATGGTGATGATGCAGATGATGATGGTGATAACGATGGTGATAATGGGATGGTGGTGGTGATGATGGGTGACAACGGTGATGATGGTGATAATGGTGATGATGGTGATAATGGTGATGGTGAAAAAAGTGATAATGGTGATGATGGTGATAATGATATGGTGGTGATGATGGTGATGTTGATAATGGTGGTGATAGTGAAAAGTGATAATGGTGATAATGGTGATGATGGTGATAATGATATGGTGGTGATGATGGTGATAATGGTGATGTTGATAATGGTGATGGTGAAAAAAGTGATAATGGTGATGATGGTGATGATATGGTGGTGATGATGGTGATAATGGTGATGTTGATAATGGTGGTGATGGTGAAAAAAGTGATAATGGTGATGATGGTGATAATGATATGGTGGTGATGATGGTGATAATGGTGATGTTGATAATGGTGATGGTGAAAAAAGTGATAATGGTGATGATGGTGATGATATGGTGGTGATGATGGTGATAATGGTGATGTTGATAATGGTGGTGATGGTGAAAAAAGTGATAATGGTGATGATGGTGATAATGATATGGTGGTGATGATGGTGATAATGGTGATGTTGATAATGGTGATGGTGAAAAAAGTGATAATGGTGATGATGGTGATGATATGGTGGTGATGATGGTGATAATGGTGATGTTGATAATGGTGGTGATGGTGAAAAAAGTGATAATGGTGATGATGGTGATAATGATATGGTGGTGATGATGGTGATAATGGTGATGTTGATAATGGTGATGGTGAAAAAAGTGATAATGGTGATGATGGTGATGATATGGTGGTGATGATGGTGATAATGGTGATGTTGATAATGGTGGTGATGGTGAAAAAAGTGATAATGGTGATGATGGTGATAATGATATGGTGGTGATGATGGTGATAATGGTGATGTTGATAATGGTGATGGTGAAAAAAGTGATAATGGTGATGATGGTGATGATATGATGGTGATGATGGTGATAATGGTGATGTTGATAATGGCGGTGATGGTGAAAAAAGTGATAATGGTGATAATGGTGATGATGGTGATAATGATATGGTGGTGAAAAAAGTGATGATGGTGATGTTGATAATGGTGGTGATGGTGAAAAAAGTGATGATGGTGATAATGGTGATGATGGTGATAATGATATGGTAGTGATGATGGTGATAATGGTGATGATGGTGATAATGGTGATGTTGATAATGGTGATAATGGTGATGATGATGGTGGTGATGATGATGACAGTGGTGATGATTTGAAATTGTCAGAATCTAGGTTGGCCCATCATCTGGTACTGACCATCTATAATGGTGGAGCTAGGTGATGATGATGGAGGTGATGATGGTCGAGGTGATGATGGTAATAAAAGTGACAGATTCAAAACGTGTATAATTATCTTGCTATACCTTGCTGGTTCTCCGGCTCTTGCGGTATCTGTGGTGCATCATCAGGTGCTTCATTTTCATTCACATGTTTAATCAATTCATCCAATTCACTGGCACTCTAGAATGTAGATATATATATAGCATTAATTAATAGCAAGACATTTTATGATTCATCATATGGATCAACTTCTGGGAATTTTCTCATGCAAACACAAGCAAAATTCATCCCGCTTACCTGGCTGTCCGGTTAAGCAGATCAATCTTAGATCTACTGTACACTGAGGGATGCCAGAACATTATAAAAAGGCAAGGGGGGCAAACGCACACCAAAGGGCACCTCTATAGACCCCGGAGAAGATATAACAGAAGAAGATGTGTTGACTTGTCAATGAGAGCCTGATTGTGCACGTTTCATTGACGATCGCTGTTCTGTGTTTTAGCAATAAAGCCTATACTCAAGGAACTATAACTGCGCAAATGCACTTACATTCAAGATCACACCTCATGACTTTGCCCAAAAAGCATCACCGGAAATAAGATTTAGCAGGTAGTAATTTATAACTCAAAGGGCACTTCTGCCCCTTTGCCCCTCCTAGCAAAAAGCAAGAGGGGCTGCCCCCTCTGTTCTGGTATCCTTGAGTGTATATCCTAAACCCTGTGTCCTAAACCCACACAGCTACCCTAAACCTAATATTATATTATTAGTGATATATTCAAGGCGAAGAGTTATTAATTTTTAACCAGAGTCACGGCAAGTCAAACATATTTAGATGTCATATATATATATATATAATATATTACAAGTTACATAAGAAACACTGTAAAATACCATGCATTACTCACCAAAGCATCGAAGTCAGCAAACCCACCGATATGTTTAGCATTAAAAAATATTTGAGGCACAGTTTTTCGTCCCGTTCGCTGTTTCATCTCACTTCGACTGTTTGTATACACTTCCAAATTAATGTCAACGTACTTTAAGTCGAGCTCACGAAGTCTATTCTTCGCTCGAATACAATGCGGACAGCCAGTTATTGAATATACTGTTATTCTTCCTTTCATTTTAAATTGATAGATCAGACTTTAAGAACAAATTGTTTGACAGCAGAATGGCTGTTGTATTTCCTTCTTTCCAACAAAATGAATTACATAATTTGATAATTCATAATTGTACATTTAAAAATATCACGCCGACTCGGAAGTGATACTACCATTTGCAAGCTACCGTTAACCGTGAGCGCCAAAACGCGTTTGTTTACGTTTGTAACGTGCACGTTTTGTGGGTGTAACGTGCTATTTATAACATGGAAACTGCCTCGTTTCAAGCGTTAAACTAACACGTTTTTTTTTTCGTTAAACTAAACGAGCATGTTTTGGCTGGAAACGGACACGTTTATTACACTATTTATTCATGTTTTGGTATGAAACGGCTACGTTTACAAAACTTATACTAGTAATGTCTGTCTATAGTCCGAGGTCTAGTCGCTCTTATTGTTAAAGTATGTCTGCACAAATAAAAATTTTGTACGGCCACGAGTACGAAAGATGCAAAACCGCTTTGGAAGGGCTAGAAAGCCTCGTATTCTCCAATGTTGGTAGTTTCTATAGAGACTCTTCAAATTTGCGTATTCAATATCAAATAGTATCAAAATATCGATATTATCAAAATCACAATTTCTTGCAGTATGTCCCAACCGCAAATGACAGTTGCGGCACCTATTCCCATCCTCTGCTCTACTGATAGACTTCACCCGTAAGAGTTTTCTTTGCGTATCGCGTTCGTCCATTTCTAGCTTATAAAGTGCGTCTTTCTTTTCATCTATGTCGCGTTTCGCTTTGTGCATATACCTTTGCAAAGGGGTTTCGATACTTTCGACTACAGGCACTGAACGGCGCTCGTTGACAGACAATACATTATCATCATCCGATTCATCGTCAGACTGTCCTGTGTCTGACTCAGACAGAAATTGTAATTTCCTCCCTTTAATGACGACCTTTCTAGGCTGTTTTGCCATTACTTCTGGAGATGGACATTTTTTTTACTATCCCGAGAGGAGTGACAGAGTCATCCACTCGTACGCATAAACGGACGATGTTATTGTCTCTTACATTTGCTACAGTCTTACAACAGCGAATCGCATCCTGCACATCCTGTTTGGTTCGATACTGTCACGAACGTGCTTTCGTCATCCCGAAAGAGTCTCTATAGAAACTACCAACATTGGAGAATACCAGGCTTTCTAGCCCTTCCAAAGTTAAAGATTTGAACTTTACAATGGAGATTGTAGCGGTTTTGCATCTTTCGTACTCGTGGCCGTACAAAATTTTTATTTGTGCAGACATACTTTAACAATAAGAGCGACTAGACCTCGGACTATAGACAGACATTACTAGTATAAGTTTTGTAAACGTAGCCGTTTCATACCAAAACATGAATAAATAGTGTAATAAACGTGTCCGTTTCCAGCCAAAACATGCTCGTTTAGTTTAACGAAAAAAAAAACGTGTTAGTTTAACGCTTGAAACGAGGCAGTTTCCATGTTATAAATAGCACGTTACACCCACAAAACGTGCACGTTACAAACGTAAACAAACGCGTTTTGGCGCTCACGGTTAACGGTAGCTTGCAAATGGTAGTAT